AGAGTTCAAATCCAACCTCAGACACTTACTGGCTGTATGACCCTGGGCGAATCACTTAACTATGATTGCCACCAAAAATAAAAAATAAATTTAAAAAATTTTGCTAAGTGAATGAGCCTCAGTTTCTCTGTCATGACAGACCAATCTTCTTTTCCAATCTTACTTGTCCCCCGTGAGGTTCCCCCCCCACTCCTCATTGTTGATGATTTAGCCTCACTAAACCCACTCTTCTCCTTTTCATTTCTGTTTCTACTCACTCTGGCTGTTTCCAAATGGTTTGACAGGTAGACAGAAAAGAGAGCTGAGCTAGTTCTACATACAAATCTTATTGTCATTCTTAAGTATTTAACCTTTCCCAGAATGTGTAGCGAGCAGTAAAATTGATGAACGTGAATATAATTATTTATTCCTTGCCTCAACTTCTTGGTGGAGATGTAAATGAAGAGTGAAAAACGTCTAGAGAGAGAAATTAAATTCTTCAGTGGCAACTAGGTGGTAGAGCAGATAGAACACTGGGCTTGGAGCCAAGAAGATCTGAGTTCAAATCCAGACTCAGACCCTTAGTAGTTCTATGACCCTGGGTAAGGCACTTTGCCTCAATTTCCTCAACTGTAATAATGACAGTACCCATCTGTTTTGCAAGGTTGCTGTGAAGCTCAAATGAGCTAATATTTGTAAAGCACTTAACACAATGCCTGACACATATTAGGTATGATATAAATGCTTATTTCCTCCTCTCTCCCCTCAGAGGCAAGCAGCTTTATGCATATTTCTTTGTTGGTGTTCACCTTGCTGGTGTAACCAGTATAGGGGCTCCTGATGGGGGAACTTTCTCCATCCACATAAATGAATCATCCATCTGGTATTAAATATGGCTTCTACGCTAGTCTTAGATGAATCCGGGGTTTTGAGACAATAAGTAACTTGTCACACAAGCTGGTGTGTATCAGAGCATGACTTTGAGATCTTTTAGATTCTACAGCCAGACCTCTATCTATTATCTATCTATCTATATAAATATAGATAGACAGATATATACATACACACACACACACACACACACACACACACACACAATGGAACCAAACTTACTTTAACAGTGCCCTCCAGTATAGAAAAGGTACCAAACCAAGTTTTCTCATTTTTAATCTCTCTGTATCTACTGGCTCCTTCCCTGCTATATAAAAACTTATCAAAGTCTCACCCATTCTTCAAAAAACTCTCAGTAGACAGTTACCTATTATCTATCTATTATCTATCAAACCTGTTATCTATCATCTTATAACTTTCTGCCCTTTATCATTCAAACCCCTTTAAAAAGGGGGGGGGGGCACAGCTAGGTGACATAGTGGATAAAGCTCCAGCCTTAGAGTCAGGAGGACCTGAGTTCAAATCCAGTCTCAGACATTTGACATTTACTAGCTGTGTGACCCCGGGGCAAGTCACTTAACCCCGATTGCCTCACAAAAAAATAAAAATAAAAATAAAAAAAATTTTTAAAAGGTGGTAACACACATTTCTTCCACTTCTCTCCCAATCTGCTGAACCCTCTGCAATTTGGCTTCAGATTGCTCATGATTTCTTAATTGTCAAATTGAGTGGACTTATCACAATCCTCATCCTTACTGACTTCTCTATGATATTTAACATTATTGACTACCCTTTCCTCCTGGATATTTTCTCTGATCTGGGTTTTTGTTTTGTTTATATTAGCTGAGCTAAAATAATAAAAAATGACAATTCTACCTAAATTAATTTACTTATTTAGCATCATGCCAATCAAACTACCAAAAAGTTATTTCATAGAACTAGAAAAAAACAATAATAAAATTCATCTGGAAGAACAAAAGGTCCAGAATATCAGAGGAACTAATGAAAAGAAATGCAAGGGAAGGTAGCCTAGCTATACCAAATCTTAAATTTTATTATGAAGCAGTAATCATCAGAACTACTTGGTACTGGCTAAGAAACAGAGTGGTGCATTGTGTGATGACTGACTTTGATAGACTTAGCCCTTCTCAGCAATGTAAGGATCTAAGACATCTGCAAAAGTCTCATGATGGAAAATGTTATCCACATCCAAAGAAAGAACTATGGAGTTTGAATGCAGATCAAAGCATACTATTTGTTCTTTTTTTTTCTTCTGTTTTGTTTTGTTTCCTCTTTCTTGTGGTTCCTCCTATTGGTTCTAATTCTTCCTTACAACATGACTAATGTGAAAACATGTTTAATAGTAATGTATATGTTTAGCCTATATCAGATTGCGCACCATCTTGCGGAGGGAGGTGGGGAGGGAGGGGGAAAATATTTTATACTCAAAAGCTTATGGAAGCGATTGTTGATAAATCAAAATAAATTAATGAAAAAAATAGAGTGGTGGATCAGTGAAACAGGTTAGGTATGCAAGACACAACAGTCAACGACTATACTAATCTACTATTTGATAAATCCAAAGACTCCAGCTTCTGGGATAAGAAATCACTATTTAACAAAAACTGCTGGGAAAACTAGAAAACAGATGGGCAGAAACTGGGCATAGACCAACATCTTAGTACCCTATACCAAAATAAAGTCAAAATGGGTACACAATTTAGATATAGAGACTGATACTATAAGCAAACTGGGAGAAAGGAATAGTTTACCTTTCAGATCTATGGAGAAGGGAAGAATTTATGATCAAAAAGAGATAGAGAACATTACAAAATGCAAAATGGATAATTTTGATTACATTACATTAAAAAGGGTTTGCACAAACAACACCAATGCATCCCAGATTAGGAGGGAAGCAGAAAACCCGGAAAGAATTTTTACAACCAGCGTCTCTGATAAAGGCCTCATTTCTAAAATATATAGAGGACTGAGTCAAATTTATAAGAATACAAGTCATTCCCCAACTGACAAATGGTCAAAAGATATGAACAGGCAGTTTTCAGATGAAGAAATTAAAGCCATCTATAGTCATATGAAAAAATGCTCTAAATCACTATTGACTAGAGAAACGCGAATCAAAACAACTCTGAGGTACCACGTCACACCTATCAGATTGGCCAACATGACAAACAGGACAATGATAAATGTTGGAGAAGATGTGGGAAAATTGAAACACTAATGCATTCTTGGTGGAGTTGTAAACTGATCCAACCATTTTGGAGAGCAATTTGGAACCATGCTCAAAGGGCTATAAAAATGTGCATACCCTTTGACCCAGCAATATCATTTCTAGGGCTATATCCAAAAGAGATCATAAAAATGGGAAAAGATGCACACATATACAAAAATATTTATAGCAGCTCTTTCTGTGTTGGCAAAGAATTGGAAATTGAGGGGATGCCCATCAATTGGGGAATGACTGAACAAGTTGTGGCATAATGAATGCAATGGAATACTATTGTGCTGTAAGAAATGATGAGCAAGCAGACTTCAGAAAAACCTGGAAAGATTTGTATGGACTGATGCTGAGTGAATTGAGCAGAACCAGAAGAATGTTGTACACAGTAATAGCCACATTGTGTGATGACTAACTTTGATAGACTCAGCTCTTCTCAGCAATACAATGATGGAAAATGCTATCCACATCCAGAGAAAGAACTATGGAGTCGGAATGCAGATTGAAACATACTATTTGCTCTTTTTTTCCTTCAGTTTTGTTTTGTTTCTTCTTTCTTGTGGTTCCTCCCATTAGTTCTAATTCTCCTTTACATCATGATTAATGAGAAAATATGCTTAATATGAATGTATAAGTAGAGCCTATATCAGATTGCACACCATGTTGGGGAAGGAGGAGAGGGAGGGGAAGAAAATTTAAAACTCAAAATCTTATGGAAGTGAATGTTGAAAAGTAAAAATAAATAAATCAATTATAAAAAAAAAAAAGATGAGCTTAACCCGTGTTTTGGAGGGAAGTGCTGAAAGATATTAGTCCTACCACACTACGTCTATAGAGATGACTACCAGCTGTAGATATTTAGCCCCAGTCTCATTCTTCACCTGCAGTCCTGCATCACCAACTTCCAAATGGATATTTCATCCGACTGGATATCCCATAGGCAACCCAAACTTAGCAAATCCAAAACAGAATGCATTCTCTCTCCCTTAAACTCACCAGCTTCCAAAATTCCCAGTCTCTACCAAGGCACCACCATTCTTCTCGCGCCCTAGGTTCACAATCTCTGTGTCATCCTTGACTCCTCATTCTTACTCACCCCCAAGCACCCCATCAATTGTTACTTAAATCCTATCATTTCTCCTTCCACAATGCTTGAATCTACCTTCTTCTTTCTACTTACAGTTACCACCCTAAACCAGGCCCTTATTCCCTCTCATCTGGACTATTACAATAGCCTCCTAACTGATCTCTCTGCCCCTAGTATCCCTCAACTCCAATCCATCCACCGCCACCCCAGCAGCCAAAATGATTTTGCTAAAGTACTGTTCAAACCACATCACCGCCACCACCCCACTTCCTCAATAAACCTCAATGTCCCCTATTACTTTTAGAATCAAATATAAACTCTTCTTTGGGGCATTTAAAACTCTTCAAAATCTGACACCATCCTACCCTTGCTAAACTTGGAATACATTACTCCTGTTCATACACTCTACAATCCAAATGAACTATGCTTCTTGTTCCTCCTCACATAACACTGTCACTAATCTCTGCATCTTTGCACCAGCTATCCTCCATGTGAGAGAGAGAGAGAGAGAGAGAGAGAGAGAGAGAGAGAGAGAGAGAGATTCCCTCCCCATCTTAGCCTCTTGAATCTGTTCTCCTTCAAGACTCAGCTCAAGCTCTATGGGACCTTTCCTGGTCCTTTCAATGACTAATGTCTTCCTTCCCAAGGATAACATGTAGCTGTTGTGTGTGTATACATATATACACATATGTGTGTGTGTGTGTGTGTGTGTATCCAAAAAGATGTCACAAAGAGTGAAAATGGCTTAACAACAAGAATACGTATATAGGAGACAGGAGAGTGTCAATAAAAGACTCTAAGGACATGCACAGGCCCAGCATACCAATGTGATTTAATGTGCTTCAATAAAACATCCTCAGGGACAGATTTTGAAAGTGATGAGACAGGAATGCTCACCATTTCAACAGTTTTGTGATTAGACATGATTAGTACATGTAAACAATGTACATCTCAGTTTGGCAATCTGGCCACTTATCTAAGAATCAGCCTCACCTAAAATCCATAAAAATTCTAAAAATCTATGGTTAACTTGGTGATCTGTGACTTGCTTTGTTGAAATAAATTATGTAAGACTGGTGTTGAATATTCATAATGGAGAAAAATAGCAGTGTGGTGTTTCATTCCACCATTATGATAATGGTCTTCTGCTAACAATATCAACACTGGTACACATGCCTCATGAAGTAAGTATTGGACTCTTTCATTTAGGTAGGCAAGCCAATAAGGTGGCTTTTTCAAAGATAAATAATGGAGGAAGCCATTGTACGGTTTCAAGTTATTTATAGGATTAAGCTTTAAGCCCTTCATTCTGCTTTGGGTTGAAGGCAGTAGTTTGGGGTTAAAAACCCTCCACTGGAGGAGACTGGTCAGGAATTCAGGTCTTCAATGATCTCTAATCTCTACCCAAATGTAGCCACTTCCGCAAAAAGCCTGGGCCCCCCCAGTAGCCCCTGTTTAAAAAAAGAGAGAGAGAGAGAAAGGATGTGTGATTAATAACAAAACCATCAAGATGCTGAAAAAAGAAATTCCAGATCAATGGGAGACACTTAACATAGTCCCATGGCTAGAATGCTACTCAAGGTATAGAGTCCAATATTTGGATTTAAATTCATTCCCTGCTACAGACTTACTGTGCTATCTCTCAGTGCCTCATTTTCTCCACCTCTCAAGCAGTCAACCTGACCTGCCTAATATGGTAATATTGAGTAGTACCTGAAAGGTATATAGTGCTATATGAATATAAGCCCTCATTATTAATATCGTGATTTAGCCAAAAGATCCTCTCTGTGGGGAAAGATAGTGTGAGGGAGACGAGGCAGCCAACTTGGGATACCCCTCCTAATCTACAAGATAGAGGGCAATTCTTGGAGTCAGGAAGGCCTGCCTTGAAGGACCTTTGACAATTACTAGCTGTGTGACCCTGGGAAAGTCCCTTACCTTCTCTAAGACTAAGTTTCTTCATTTGTAAAATGGGGATAATAATACCCAAAGCACTTCCTCCACAGGGCTATTAGGAGATAGCATACATAAAGCGTTATGTAAAATTCACCCATTTTTATAAGAAAGAGCACCATTTCCCTGGAAGTATTTCTCTTGAGCTCAATGAGGTTACAATAACACATTAGAAGAGGTTCTTAAGAACTAGCTTTGTATGTGATTGAAATAATACTTACTTTAGCATTCCATTCCAATAGAGAAAAGGCATCATATCAGCTTTCAAAAGGTACATGGAGAGTCGTTCTTTACCCTGGTCAAAGGGGAAGGTTTCTAGAGGCTGAGCACTGTAGTCAAACTCAGCGAGTATCACTTTGTTGTAGTTGGTAACAAGTGGACAAGATGTATACCCATTATACTGAAACAGAGAATCAGAAATAGAGTAACACATATATTTCTCTCATGCAGAGTGGACTTCTAAAGTCTTTAAAGAGGTTTGGTGGGGTTTTTTAAGATAATTAAGGTGATCATGGTGTAAAATGGGGGTAGCAACTCCAGGTAAGCTAAGAAAGAAGGATTTTCATGTACTCTGGGCTAAGTAACTCTTACAACAACACGGTACCTTGCTGACTGGTTTTTTATTCTTCATTACCAGGGAAATTGTGCAGTCAAGTACTCCAGACTGAGCAGCTATAGGAAAGAAATGAACAGTCAGGACAGTACTATTCATTTTATTTCATCAGTTTGTAAATTAATTTCATTGTAAACAAGTTAGGCTGGGAGCAAAAGATGTGCCCCTGAAAAGGTCACATACATCCTCATGTTCACAAACCCCCTCATCTTTCTTATTCTTTCCATTTCTGGTTTCCCAAAAATCTCTAGCGACTGGTGGAGGCAGGTTCATAATCATCCATTTCAACACACACACATACACACACAGAAAATGTTTTGGAGTCAGTTGTATCAGCTCAGGCAAGCTGGGTGTTAAATTTTCAGCATGAGCATTTATTTATCCATTAGGAATTGATAAATGCTACAAATCAGGGCCTGATTTATTGTTTTGTTGATTTTCTAGACTTAAGAAAGTGATGGAGAAAAATGTTAATAATGTATACTAAACTCTAAAGTATGTCATGCATATTTCCTCCCAGACAGCTGGGTGTTAAACATTTACAGAACACCCCTGCACATGCCCCACCTCTCTTCTCCCGTAGGAAACAGATCTACCTGCTCTTTCTAGAAGGAGGAATTAACAAGGTTGTCAATTTCAAACAACAGGAAACAAAAGGAGAGATTCAGGCTGTATCTCTCCATCCCCAATTCCTCATTCTTTTAATGGATATCAGTAGCAGTTTTTTGGGAGAGAATGCCAACATATATTTAACTTGGACATTTGCAATTTACTTCTTTGAAATAAACCCTCTTAGGTATCATTATGGAGTGTCTAGGTGGCAAAGTGGATAGAGTGCGAGGCCTGGAGTCAGGAAGACTCCTCTTCCTGAGTTCAAATCCAGCCTCAGACTCCTATTAGCTGTGTGACCCTGGGCAAGTCATTTAACCATGTTTGTGTCAGTTTCCTCATTTGGAAAAAGAGCTGGAGAAGAAAATGGCAAACTACTCCATTATCTTTGCCAAGAAAACCCCAAATGGGATCACAAAACGTTGGACACGACTGAAAGGATTAAACAATAACAAGGTGTCATATTTTTGTTCTAGGAGAGAGTAAGGCTGTGCAAAGTCTTACTTTGCTCGATTTTGTTTAAATCCAATTCACACACAAGTCAAGACAACACCCTCATGATATCATTGGTCCTCTTTTGAAAACAAAAGAATAGCAACTTTAGGACAAAATACAAATGAAGGAAGGGAACACTTATTACATGCTATGTGTCAGGCAGTGTTCTAAGGGCCGAGGGAACAAATACAAAAGTGAGACGGTCCCTGACCACAAGAAGCTTACCTTCTAGCAGGAGGAGGTAATGCCTATAAGGAAGTAGTCCCCAGAGAGGGAAATTTAGTTTTAGAAATCACAAGGATGGTGAGCAGAGCCATAGAGAAGTCATCTGGTTCACTCAGCAGCAAAGATTTTCTCGCATGTTAAGGTCATCAGGTTTATCAGATTAGAATAAAAGGGTGTAAGGGGGAACCCTCCATTATTTCTGCTGAAGTTTTCAATGAAAGTAACATAATACGATCTCATAGGCATGCATATGGAGAGGCAGTATGGTGCTGGACTTGAGGTCAAAAGAAAACTAAATTTTAATCCTCCCTTGAGTACTTACTAGTTTGTTTTTACTATAAATCCTTTAACCTCTGCAAGCCTCAGGTTATTTTTTTTTAATGTATTAAATGGTGATAAAATTACCAGAAGTGCTTACACTCAAGCACTTCGCATATTATTCCTGACCACATCACCAGCATTGGCGGCATGGTGGCTGTCTTCCAGCACCACAAAAGACAACTGAAAAGAGGCAGTGTGGTATAGGGGAGACGGAAAATCAATTTGGAGTCAAGAGGACCAGGGCTGAATCCCAGCTCTGCAATTCACCACTTCCGTGACCTAAGAGAACCCTTTTAACTGCTCCAAGACTCAGTTTCCTCATCTGTAGCACAGTGCCTAGCACATAGTAGGCACTTAATAAATATTTACTGACTGATGCTAGATTCTTTGGTCACTTAGTGCACAAGCATTTATTAAGCACTTACTATTGTTTCAGGAAATTCCATATAATAAATTAATAAGTAGTCTGTTTGTGATTTTGGAAGAAACAGTCCTACGTAAGATCCCAGATTTAGAGCCAGAAAGGACCCCACAGGTCTTCTAGCTCAGCCCCCTCATTTTACAAATGAGAAAACTGAGGCCCAGAGATGTTAAGTGACATGACCAAGGCAAGTCAGAAGCAGAGATGGACCCACGTCCTCTGACTCAGACTCATTGTTTTCTCTTTAGAACAGGGGAAGAGGAGGGGAGAGAGAGAGAGAGACAGAGACAGAGAGAGAAGGAGATTCCATTAATAGACTTAAGTTGCCTGACTTGGGCTACACTATGTGAAGAAAACATGAGGAAGGCTCTAAGCCTCAGGTATGTTGGATGGACCCCGGTAGGTGAGTATATGAAAGAAGACACAGACAAGAGTTGACCAAGAAAGGCAGGCATGAATGGGCTACAACCCACATCAACAAACTGATGAGCTAATAATAACAATTTTTGTTGTTCAGTCGTTTCAGCGGTGTCCAACACTTCATGATCCCATTTGGAGTTTTCTTGGCAAAGATACTAGAGTGGTTTGCCATTTCACTCTCCAATTCATTTTACAGATAAGGAAATTGAGGCAAACAGAGGTTAAGTGACTTGCCCAGGGTCATGCAGCTAGGAAGTGTCTGAGGCTGGATTTGAACTCAGGTCTTTCTGATTCCAGGTCTAGCTCTCTGTCCACCATGCTACCAGCTGCCCACAGATCCACTGCAGTATGAAGAGACACAGCAAGTGTTTTTCATTAGTTTTCATAGCAACTTCTCAGCCTAACTTTGAATTAGAAAAACAATGGCAGCTTTTCAATCCTACCTACTGCAGCAGCTGTCTTTGATGTGGGAAGGTTGGTACAGTCTCCAATGCCAAAAACATTTGGGTATTTCTTGTGCTGCAGAGTTTCTTTGTCCAAATCTACCCAGCCAGCTGCATCTGCAACAGGACTGTCCCTGACTACTTCTGGTGGCCCCATGGGTGGAGTGACATGAAGCATCTCATACTAGGGAAAAAGAAGGAGAAGGTAAAATAAACTTGTGGTTCCTTATTCTTTCTCCAGTCTTCTTGCCGGGGCCCCATCACCCTGACAAGTCCATTAGATTCATACCCATATCAGGCATATAACAAGTCTTCACACTCTAGAAACTTACCTGCTCTCCTGGCCTGACACGGGCTCCCTGCCCTCAAGTCTCCCCCTACTCCAGCCCATCCTGTATACTATTGTTGTTTTCACCTGGACCCAGTGCTGCAAAGCTCTAACCTGCCAATGCCAGGGAAAACAAGTTTCTGAATTGCTAGTGTAGGGCCAGAGAATTGAAGAACAGGTAACAGAACCAGGACAGGGCACAGAGCATATGGGGGGCTGTGCTGCACTCCATCAAGCCTGAGAGAAAGATCATAGCACCCAGCTGGGGCCAGTTCTGACCACCCAATGTATGAAAAATGTTATACAACAGAGGGTATAAATCAATGGTGGAGGAGGGACCTTGCCACGGGGAAGTAGTCTCTCTGACGTCTGCAACAATTAACATCATTCTGGGAGCAACGCATAATGGGAAAAGCATCTGGAGTAAGCCCTAGAAGATGCAGAAAGAATTTAGAGGGGACAGCCTAGAATGGATACCTCGGAAACTTTGATTTCATGAAGAATACAGAGAAAAGAGAGAGACTAGATAATTATAGAAATCATGAATCAGACAATGAGGATCTAGAGTAAACAGAAAAGATGGATAACGAAGAGAATTAGAAAAATCCTTTTTGGAAAGGGTCACAAAAAGGCCTAGGCCCAATGTCACTCCAGAGACTTCCTTGATATCATGCATGCCCCTAGTCTTTTAAAGGGCTGCTTAACAGATTTTCTCTGGGTAAGAGACTGACATAAATCCTACAGGACTCTGTCCTGGCTGCCTTCTCTTCCCTGTCTACACTATTTCCCTTACTGATATCAGCTCTCATGGATTCAGTGATCATCTCTATGCCAACGATTCTCAGATCTGCTTATCCAGCCCTAACCTCTCTTCTGACACCTAGTCTTGTATCTCCAACTGCCTATTAGACATCTCCAACCAGATGCCCAGAAGACATCTTAAATTCAACATGTACAAAACTGAACTCATTATCTTTTGCCCTAAACTCTTCCTTCTTCCTAACTTCTCTATAACTGTCTAGGGTATCACCATTATCCCAGTCACTCCATTCCTCACTCTCTCTCACCCTCCATATCCAATCTATTGCCAGGGCAATCAATTTTACCTTCAAAACAACCCTCATACATGCCCACTTCTCTCCTCTGACACTGTCACCGCTCTGGTACAGGCCTTCATGCCTGGACTATTGCAAAAGCCTATTTATTGATCTTCCCACCATAAGTCTCTCCCCATTCCAGTACAACCTCCAGTCACCTGTCAAATAGATCTTCCTAAAGCATAGGTCTGACCATGTCACCTCCCTACATAAATCTCCAGTGACTTCCTATCAACTCCAGGACCAAATATAAAATCTGTTTGGCATTCAAAGATATTCATAATCTGCTCTGCCCTTCTGCCATTAGATAAATTATCTCACTGGATCCTCACATACCCCTAAGAGGTAGATGCTATTGTCACCCCTATTTTACAGATGAGGAAACTGAGGCTCACGGAGGTTTAGCAACTTATTCAGAGTCACACAGCTACTAGGTGTCTAAGGCAGGATATGAACTCAGGTCTTTTTTAACTCCAGGTACAGCTATAGAGGAGACTACCTGAGCCTCTCAAGAGGGAAACGGGGTACTCACTGACATCACTTTGGTCGATCCAGGATTGTCCAAGTCCTCAAACACTGCCTCATATTTTTCTGGCCGAACTTCAATAAGGTTTTGCCGATAGTTCACATGGAGGTTCCTGGCCTTGATAATTTCTTCCAGGGCATCTGCATACTTCTTAACCCCAAAAATGGCTCCCAGGGAAGTGTTGAAAATTATATTGGCATTAGCTCGCTTTCTTGTCTGAGAAAAAAAAATAGCAGAGGAGGGAGCCTGTGGGACTAGTAACTACCAAGAATGAACTGGCTTCTTCTTCTTCTCTTTGAAGAGGAGTCTAGTTTTCTCAGAAGATTTCAGTCCCTGCCACTGTTACCTTTGTACTTTGACAAGTGTGATAACCTTCTACTCTCATCTTACTCTCTGCTGACAACATGGTGGCCAAGTGAGAACATGGGATGGGGTCAAAGGTGAGGAAACTAGAATTGAAGGTTTGAACTGGAAATGCCCAGTGCTAGGGGATGATAAACCATTAGCACAGGCTAGAAATAAAAACAGTATAAAGTATTAACACAAAGGAATACAAATTTGGACTTACCTTTGTCATACATCCCAAAGGAGATGGCATTCTCTCCCCAGTCCCAAAGTGAGTAGAGGAACTACAGGCTGTTTGTAATTCCAAAATTAACCCAAGCCTAGTCAAAGGCCTCACAGTACATATACTACCACATTCTTTCTAAAATCTTAAGCCATACTTTATGCCAAGAACAAAAAGGATGAGAACAGATAATAATCAATAATAATATTAACTATCATTTATACATGCCTTAAGGTTTACAAAGCACTTTACGTATGCTAATCCATTCAGTCCTCACAACAACCCTGGGAGGTAGGTACTAACATCCCAGTTTTACAGATAAGGAAACTAAATGACTTGTCCAGGATCACACAGCTAGCTAATGTCTGATGCAGGATTAGAACTCAGGTCTTCCTGACTCCAAGTTCATATTCTGTCTATTGTGCTAAGTAGCTACTAACTAAGTAGCTGGCTAACTAAGCCAGTACCATGCTTACAATTGCAGATATGCTTTTGTCCATAGACCAGCCTTCTATTTGGTAAAGTCTATGATTATCTGTGCCTTTAAGAAGAATTGATAATTACCTGAAATTCAGTTCTTTGCAATGTATTTCTTTGTATTAACCATTGCCCCTCTCTCAGATCTCTTTTAAAATATAAATTCCACAGTAAAATTGATGTACTTTTAAAAATAGTGATCCATGATATATTCACAATTCCATACATAATTATCTTTTACTATCCTTTGTATATGAAAATATTAAAGTTCATAATTTTTAATTCATAATTTTTAAATAAAATACAAATGCCTCCTGGAGGGACAACATATTAAGTCCATGTCTTGATGGTAAGTTATGTGAATGTATATTTTTCACTGTAGAATAGCTCTTCTCCATTATGGCGAGCTCAAAGTCCCTCCTTGCTAAGTAGTGACAAATTAGAGTTGAATGCAGATATTAAACACCCTCTGAAAGCTTAAAAGACTCCTGGGCCCTACTAAAACACCACAGATCAAATTAAGGAACAGGAGGGTTCTTCCCAATCAGATAAGGATCACTTCTATCACTTACACACATACACACACACATACACACACACTCACTAGATTCCCCAGGATATTATTGCCACCACCTCCAATCATTTTATTGTTTATTTTAATAGATTTTGCATTCACTTATCTGTATCTATATTGTTTCCTCTCCTCCCACTAGAACGTAATCCTCTTGAGAACAGAGACTCTGTTTTTCATGATCCCAAATACCTGGTACATCGTCTTTAATAAACGTTTCCTGATGTTGTTAAGTACTGGGGAATGCAAATGTCATTAAGACACAGTCCCTGGTCTCAAGGGGTTTACAATCCAGTGAACTCTGAAGCAAGGACTGAGCCTTCTTAGAAGTCTTAGGAGGGAGAGAGAGAGAGAAATAGTCCACTGGCAGTCGGAACTCAAGTTCTACAAGCGACTCTCAGTCTTGGAAATGAAACATACCTTCTTCATGTAAGCGTCTGACAAATACATGATCTTCTGTGGCGCCCCTGCGCACTTAACCGGGGTGTTTGGGAAAGTGAAGATGGCATTGCCCTCCTTGAAATCCTGCAGCGCCTTCCATGTTTTCTCCACAGTTCCAACAGAGTAATTAGACCCTATTTTAGGATAACTAAAACCTTCAGGCAAACCTTTGACCTGAAACAAATGAGACGAGGAAGGTAAAAAAACACTACGTTTTTGAGACAAGAGTGCTCTCAAGTTTGAGCATACATACCGCACCATACCTGCCTCAGATAAACTGAGGCTAGAGAAAGCCCTTAATTTAGAAATGCCCAGGTCACCCACTGCATCCTGGGCCATCACCCATCCTCTTGACTTTTGTCCTGCCACTGGACTTCAATGACTACGGAAGAGAAAGTGAGGCTGATGACTTTTGCATAGCTCTGCATCACTTAAATTCATGTGCAAATCAAGATATCACCTTCGTGACGCCATTGCTTCTCTTTGAGAATGAAGGATAAACAACAAATAATTTTAAGGTTGCATTTCTTCCTCATTTCTGATGAACCAATAAATAAAAAGACATACACTGAGGCTCGCTATGTGTGGTATCACTGTACTCAGTACTAGGGATACAAACATAAATAGAAAGTCAGAGTCTCTGCCCAAAACACATTTAATGGAGTGATGGTCAGGGAAGGATGATCTGTGCTGGGAAGTCACAGAGGTGACGAGTGGACCAGCAGGCCCCATCCAAGGATGTACCTTCTTCTCAGAGGCTATAACAGCGTAATTTGATTACAAGTCTCAAAGCAAGAGGGGGAAAACTGGATGAGAATTACATGCATGAAGGGTGGGGAGAAAATGGCCTGGGAGAAGATGAGGACAACATGGGCATGGTTTCTGGGAGTTCAGGAAGAAAGCAGTGACAGCAGGTCAGTATTATTACGTCCATTTTATGCAAGGGTAGAAAAGTAAGAGAGCTCCTAAAACCTGGCTGTGTCATGCTAAGAGTCAGTGGAAGACCAGAGTTTGAGTTTAATTCCAAATTATCTGAGCCTGAAAAATTAACATTACCTCGGAGTGAGTCAACCTCTTTATCAAAACACAGGGATCTGGCAAGAAACCATTGGGCTGCTTGTTTTGATAAAAAATAAAATCAGTTGCTTTCTTGGAAGAAGTACACAGATGCACAGACTTGATGGGAAGTCATGTGGATGCCTGCTTTTTTCCATTTAGAATAGCTCTGCGTCATCATAGTGAGTTCAAGCCCCTCCTTGACAGGCAGTGACAAATCAGAGCTGAGCACCTCTATTAGATACCCTCTAACTTAAAACGTAACAAAAATAAATTAAATTAATTTTTTTAAATTACCAAAAAGTAGAAATAAAATTTTGTTCGAATGTGATAAAGAGAGGTCCTAGTACTCATAACATTAAGGAATAGGAGGTGCAGGAGACAAGAAAAAAAAAAATCATGCATCTATTCTTTGCATCAGTAAGACCTCTATTAGAACACCAGGTAAGTGGTGCAGCCAGGTGGTGCAGTGGATAGAGCACCAGCCCTGGATTCAGGAGGACCTGAGTTCAAATCTGGCCTCAGATACATAACACTTTACTAGCTAGCTGTGTGACCCTGGTCAAGTCACTTAACCCCATTGCCTAACCAAAAAAAAAAAAAAAGAATACCAGGTAAGAATCTAGTCAGCCTACATTTTAAGAAAGATGTGTACAAATAAGAGGTTTAAAAATGAATGACAAAGATGATTTAAAGGGTATAAAAACTGTCTTTGTCCCATGAGCAAAAGTTAAAGGAATAGAAAATGTTTGTTCTGGAGAAAAGAATCACAGATTCAGAGCCAAATTCCTCTGGCTCCAAATTCAGCATTCTTTCTTTTATACCACACTGCCTCTAAGGCTAAGCGGGAGTTGATTACTTCAAGTTTAAAAAGCATTTTTAGAAAGGAAGAAAGCAAACAAGGATTTATGAAGTATCTACTATGTACCAGGCTCTATGTTAAGCAATTTACAAATATCACCTTTGATCCTTACAACCCTGGAAGATAGGTGCTATTATTCTCTCTATTTTACAGTTGAGGAAACTGAGGCAAACCCAAGGTTACTTGTTCCAGGATCATACATCTACAGAGTATCTGAGGCTGGATTTGAACTCAGGTCTTCCTACACCAGGCCCAATGCTCTAACCACTGTGCCCTATAATCTGTGCTCCAACTGCCTATGAAGAGGCTACTGAGCAATGTGTTCATGTTAGAGTGGAAAAGGGAAATGGATTTACATTAAAACAGCAGATATTTCAATTGCATATAAGGAAGACCTTTTCTTGACTGTCTGAGAAATTAAAGAGAACAGTGGCCTAAGGAAGACTAGGAAGCATACATTCTTAAAAGATATTTAAGAAAACAGACAATTTTACTTGGCTGGATTTTACATTCATCCAATTGACGCCAGGAGTCTAGACCAAATAACTGCTCTATGTCCTCTCCAGCTCTATAATTCTTTTGTTGTTGTTCTGCCTTTTTCAGTTATGTCCACATGATTCCATTTGGGGTTTTCTTGGCAAAGATACTGCAGTGCTTTGCCATTTCCTTCTCAGCTTGTTTTTCAGATGAGGAAACTGAGGCAAACAGGGTTAAGTAAACCTGCCCAGGGTTCACAGCCAGTAAGTATCTGAGGCTGGATTTGAACTCTTAAAAATGAATCTTCCTGCCTCCAGGCCCAGCACTCTATCCACTGTACCATCCTTTACTTTATCATCAGAGTTTAAGCTGGAAGGGGCATCAGTGCTCATTTAGTCCCACCTTTTCATTTTATAGATGAGGAAATTGAATCCCTGAGATTTACCTTCAGTCATACAAACAGGAATTAGCAGAGCTAGGATCTGAGAGCAAATCTGGTTTCTCTATCTATGAATCCTTCACAGCAAATGCTGGCAAATAAGATTTTCGTGGCTGTCTTTTTGCAAACACCATAGGCATTTTTATACTGACATAACCAAATGCCCCATAAGATAATGTTCCTTGCTGCCAATTCTGCCAACTCCTTTATTTAGCTCTCCCTTCTTCCATTTAAGTGAAAATTCTTTCTGTCCTCTGGTTTCATTTATAATCAGAATGTCAAGATTGACACAATCCAATTCTTCCAGTAGGATATCCACTGGTGGGTGTTTGGAGAAAGATCAAAACATCTCACATTTAGAGGACCAAAAGCTAAACCAATGGTTACAGACAGCCTAAAACCTGTGAAAGTCTTAGCATCAGTGCTCTGCTCTCTTTTTTGCCACTCTGCCACCATCACCAAAGAAACAGGAAGGAACCACACTGTACTGAGAGCTGCTTTGCATTTTTCTTTACCCATGGATTGCCACAGCCAAAGAATTCATTCCCAAAAAAAAAAAATTCATTCCCAAGGAGCCAGGCTCCTGACAATGAGCATCGATGTGCTTCTAGGTTCATCTTCATAAAGCAAACATAATCAGCTGCCAGAAGTGTAAGTGAAGTCTTTCCAACATTTGACATTTTATATAATTTCCTATTGGTATCCTGTAAGAACCTGATACTGAATCCTTTAAAAGACTTGTTTGGCATTTTGTGATATATTGGTCCTCTTGTTGGTGACAATTTGGATCCCATTAGGCAGCAGTCCATTAAGTACTCAGGGTCACAGTAATTATACTGTCAAATCTCACTGCCAAATTATGATACAAAACAGTGAGATAACAGCTTGGGAGTACCCAAGATCTCTTTCTCTTCTTTGGTTAGATGAAAAAAAATGTTAGTGAGTATGAGCTGATATTTAGTCAATCTAATGACCAGTAAGGTTGCTACTAATATGTCTAGTTGGGGGGGTGCAGCTAGGTAGTACAACGGGTAGAGCACTGACCCTCGAGTCAGGAGGATATGAGTTCAAATCCAGCCTCAGACACTTGACATTTACTAGCTATATGACCCTGGGCAAGTCATTTAACCACAACTGCCTCACATGCACAAATATATATGTGTATGTATGTGTATATATACATATATATATATATATATTATATACACACACACATACATATATATGAGAAATGATAAATATGTATATGTGTATATATGTTTATGTGCATGTATGTATGTGTGTCCAAGTCCTACATCACCAAGCACATCTAATAAACAAATTTTAATTTGCATTTATAACAACACCCTAGCCATTAAACAAACGGGGGGAAAAAGCAATTTCCATAGTCCAGCAAAACAAATTCCCACATTGACCATGCCTGAAAATATATGCCTCTCTTCGTAGCCCTTAAGTTCATCACCTCATTGGAAGGAGAGGAGCAGTGTAGTTGAGCTTCAGTCCTCTGGACTAGTTTATCATGGCACCCATCAGAGTTCTCAAGTCTTTTAAAGTTGTTTTTCTCTACAATGTTTCTGTCATTGTACAAATTGTCCTACTTTTGCTCACTTCATTCTGCCTTAGTTCACACAAATCTTCTCAGTTTTCTCTAGAAGTGTGCCAGGCACATTTCTAGTTATTCTAGAAATATATATGTGTGTGTGTGTGTGTGTGTGTGTGTATAAAAAAGTATATATATGTGTGTGTGTATGTGTGAGTATCTATGTCTATATATGTATGTGTATATGTGTGTATGTATGTGTGTATATGTATACATATTTTCTATGTATGAATGTATGTGTATACACATACATATATACCCATGTGTGCATACATATATATGCGTGTGTATCCTTTTTTTCCTATTTTTAAAAATTCTTAATAAATATGAACTAAAACACGTACCTCCTTGTACGTCGTACAACAAATAGAGCGTCAACCCATATATTCAGGGCAATAACCCCAGGCTGAATGTTTCATCAGCTATAAATATAACTGCAATTAGTCTGTCCCTACTTTGAAGAATTTGTCTCCCTCTTTATCTTATTTCCAAAGATGGCAGGTGGCTCTGTATTGATACGACACTTCTTTTTCAGGATTAGATCACTAACGCCTCTAGGCAAGGCTGGGAGCCTTGAGAGACCTAGTCTTGTGACAGAACCCACAACCAAAGAGAGTTTTTCAGAGAAAACTTTCTCCCAAAGAAATTGCACCCAATACCATTCTCCAATAGCTGTTCTTTGGGGAGTCTGGCTTTGCTGAGCATTAGAATGTGAACTCCACCCTTGGGCAGTTTGCTTGAGAAAAATGATCCCTATTCCAGAGGTATAAACACATTTAAACAAACCTCCCCTCTAATTCATAGCTACTCTGAAAATTCAGAGACTGTATCCTGGGATCCTGGGGCCAACCAAGCACTAAAGGCAAACAATGAGAATCATTTTACAGTATAGTAACAACCATACGCCTTAGATATCATCTGTGAACTCCAAGAAATAAAACCGTTGGCTTGGCCACATCCCTGAGGCTTTTCCTGAGCAATCATAGTGGGGTTGTGTGACACAATTATTGGTACAGCAGGTTCCCAACAGCTCCTTGGAAGTAACAGTGTTTCCCAGAATCACAGGATCTTGAACTTCAGGCCAGAAGGGACCTGAGAAGCCATCTAATCCAACCTACACCTAAAAAGAATCCTTTCAACAACATACTTGGCGGGGCAGCTAAGTGGCACAGTGGATACAGCACCAGCCTTGAAGTCAGGAGGACCTGAGTTCAAATCCAGCCTCAGACCAAACACTTGACACTTACTAGCTGTGTGATCCTGGGCAAGTCACTTAACCCCAATTGCCAAAAAAAAAAAACAACATATTTGGCAAGAGCTCAGCAACCTCTGCTTTAAGGACCGTAGTGACAGGGTTCAAAGCTCCTATACCTTTTGAGGGAGACCGTTCCATTCTTAGATTTCTCTAGTGGCTATTCATCTTTTTTTCATAAAAAAACTTTCACCCCTTGTTCCTCTTTCTGCCATCTGGGACCCATCTGAGCGAGCCTAATCTCTTGTTGACAATAACCATTCAAATACCATCCTTCTAAGTCTTCTCAACTGATCCTCAAATGGCACGAAAGCAAGGCCTGGCTACTCTCCTCTGGACACTACAGAGTTTATTGAATTAATGTTTTGTTTTGTTTTGTTTTGTTTTTTGTTTTGTTTTGTTTTGTCTGGAGATGTGGCTTCTTTAAGTATAGAGGAATTCTTGGTGTGGCATTCTCTCCCCCAGTGCATACCAGCAAATTAGCAGCAGCTCACCTATAACTTAAAGTGCTAGAGAGTTGCCTGGTGCACTGAGAGGCTATGAAGCATTCCCAGAGTTACCCAGCTCTCAGAGGCAGGACTTGAATCCAGATCATTCCTCCTATATCCTTCTATAACACAATGCCTTTCTTACCAACATCTGTCCCAAAATGTATCTTAGTTTGTTATTACATCAGGAAAGAATGAACTTGAATTTCATAATATTTGTGTCTGGCATAAGATCATAGATTTAGGGCTTAGAGGGAATTTAGAGGTCCAAAAAATCCAATCACCTCATTTTATAGATAAGGAAACTGAGCCCACAAGAAATGGTGGGAACAAGAGCCTGAGAACATGACCTATGGCATCAAGATTATTGTAAATGGTGAAATAGATCCAATGGGAAAATTTACAGGTGACCATGGACTATCTCTGGGCATTAAGTCTTCTTGGTTCTGTTTCTATATAATAACTGGCCTGGCCTAAGTGTGGTTAAGGGGTCTGCCACTGTCCTGCCACTGCCCAGGAAAGGCTATTTACTACCAAGCTGGCATAGGCCCCTCCTTCTCCAGTATCTCAGCATCCTTTTGGTACCTTTCTCACGATGTGGGGAGCATCTGCATTGATACAGTGAATTGCCCAAGGTCACACAGTTAGTAAGGGACAGAATTAGGAATTGAACTTAGATTTTCTGATTCCAAATCTGAGATTCTTTCTATTATAACTCAAAAGCAACCCTTCAATGTACACCTAGCCTCTTAGTTCATTTTAAAGAGAAATTTAATTAACTACTTCCATAGGGATTATGTTTCCTGAGTAATAGTTTTGTTTCCACACACACACACAAAAAAATTTTTAACCTCCAGGTCCCTTAACTAAGCAAAAACTAGATCCCACTTCTATTTAGGGAAATGTTTGCTATGGTCTACACCTTGAATCCAATATCTGAAGAAAAATTTCATCTATAATGAGATTATTCCATTCCATACAAAGAACCATTTCTTTTAAATTCGAAAGGACTGTTTTGCAAGAAGCGCTGTTATAAAAAGGATATATTTAATTTCTGGCTAAGTTTAAAAGTTAGAACATGTATGTTTTCATTGACAAAATTTCAGGATGACTCATTTCAACTGGGGGAAAAAATCTGGATATTATCAATTATAGTTAGATGGGAATTTCTGAACACCTTGCCTGGGACAGAGCACCAAAATACAAGACTGGACTTCAGCATAAATTAGTCCCACTAACAGAAAAATTGTTTAAGACATACCTTCTCAAATTCCAACTTGATTCCAAGAGCAATGATGAGATATTTATAAGCAATCTGTAACGCAAAAAAAAAAGATGGTATTTCAGACAGAGTAGAACTTTAGCACAAAATAGATCAGACAGCACCCTTGGAACTGGACTACACTTTCCCCTGTGGTAGGATGGACTCCATCATCCCAGGAGACAAATTGCTCTCTGCAGAGTGCTGAGAGAGAGAGAGAGAGAGTGAGAGAGAGAGAGAGACAGAGAAAGAGACACAGAGAGAGACAGAGAGAGAGCCTGTATATAGGTGACCTCAGAGTTGGGTCATCATAGTTGGAGAATCCCAGAGGTGAATTAAGTAACAAGTTATCTGCTCCTATTTAATAATGTTTGGGTGATGGATAACATTCCATAACATAACTATGTGCACTGTAATTATATCCCTTTTCCATTGGGGATAAAAAAATTCATCTTAACTATGTTGGTGGAAATGTGGGTTTGGGGTATGTTAATTTTATATTGACCCAGATTGATTGACAGAAACAGAACAAAAGGACACGTCAAGAAGTATAAACAAGGAGAATGTAACCAAGAAGAAATGGATAAGTAAAGAACCTACTAGAAAAGGGAGGATTTGAAAGAAGTTGAGAAAGAAGCCAGAAAGAAAGAAAACAGTTAGTTTAAAAAAGAAAAACAACTATAGACATGAGCTGGAAGAAGAAAAAGAACAAGCATATTGAATCAATCAAAACTGGAAGTTGGAGAATCAAAGAATTGACAATAACTGTGGGAAGTCTAGGTAAGAGAATAGTTAGAGAGATTCTGGTCTGGGGACACAAATAACTACACTATTTTCCAAAGTGATTGAGATGAATGCAGTTTCAACTTGAAAATGGAGGCTTGTTAAGAGCAAGCTAGGCAGAAAAGCCTTGGAGGGATCAGTTACCTTTCTGCCATTATCGATGCAGACGCAGTTGTCATCTGGATCCAGCTCTCTCACTACGGATTTGATCCATTCTACTCCTGATGGAATAACACTTGCCGTGGGACGGCTGCATGACGACAGCTTTTTGGCACCAGCACCCACCAGTGTCCACAGGGGCTGGTAAAAATGTTTCTAAGAAACAAAACATTTAAGAATTCCTCTCAGTGGGGCTGCTCTAGAGGGACGGAAAAAGGAGAACCCTGGCACTAATTACTAAACTTTGGAATGGGTCACAAGGGAAAGTTCTTGGAGGGTTGGTCCTACAGGACTCTCTAGGTATTGCTTCCTGAAAGACAGGCACGCTCCCAACCACAGAATCACAACAGAAAATCCACAAGTGGTTCCCGGAGACAGCCGTATTTCAAGAGCTCTGCGATTTTATCGATATGAATATTCTCTCCTCCGTGGATCTCAGACTCTCCATCACCTTGCAGATGACTCGATGAGCTATTGTGGCCTCCAAAATATCCATCCCCTGGAGATTAACTTTCTGGTAAAAGAGACTTCTCAAATTTGGCTAGGATTTTCCTTAGTAGACATCCTATCATCATGTCCACATTTAAGACAATCTGGTAGGATGGAAAGGGCTCTGGCCCTGGAAGTAGAAGACCTAAATTCAAGTACTAGTTCTGTTGTTTGCTAGCTGTGTGACCTTAGGTAGGTCATTTCACCAGTCTGTGCCTCAATTTATTCATCAGCAAAACTATGAAGTCATTCTTGATGATCTCTAAGGTCCTTCTAAATAATATGATTTAACTGCTCTAAATCCTATGATTCATTCATTGATAGGTCACCCATCAATGGGGTAGATAGGGCTACCTACCTAGCCCAACCCAATCATTTTACAGATGACTCAGCTGAAGCCCAGAAAGGGCAAGGGACAAGATCACACACATTGTAGGGAGCAGAGCTTTCTATCAAACATAGATCTTCTCCCTCTGAACTCTCCCCAGCCTATACTGCCTGCCTCTCCTCTAAGATCCCTTTCAGCTCTAACTTCCTATGGGTTTATAAACTTTTCTAGCTTGGTGGCCCCTACCAGAGTTTACCTTCTGCTAGTACAGCCTAGAAGAATCCATTCACTCCATGCCATTATAGAGAATTAGAACTGGGCTCCATCTATCAGGTCCCCTGATGACAAAACTCATTTCAGGGACAATGAATGACAACTGGCTGAAATCTCATTGAGTACTATAGGTATAGGGATGGAGATTTCATTAGTACAGGAAACTCTAGAATGAGGAGACTTCCCTACCAATGCAGGTCAGCACCTTCTCAACAATTTACAGTTTTAAAGAATTGCATGGAGCCCTGAGAGCTTAAGAGACTTGCCCTGTTTCACAAGGCAATCTGTGTCATATGTGAAACTTGAACCCAGGTTTTCTTGGCCTCAATCAAGGTCAGCTCTTTATCTAGTGTTCCATGCTGCCTCTACTTTATATGATCCCTCTCCCCACCTCCTCTTCCCCTCTTCCCTCACCTTTCTCAACCTTTCTCTCTCTCTCTCTCTCTCTCTCTCTCTCTCTCTCTCTCTCCCTCCTCCTCCTCCTCCTCCTCCATCTATCTATCTATCAATTCATCACTTATTCATTATAATTTTAAACTATATTAGTAATACATATCAAGATAATACATTTACATAGTACCTTTTTGGGGATTCCAGACTTGCGATTTTATTGTTGTAGGAAACTGATGAAGAAACTGCCCCCATCAATGTGCATCCAAACCTACTAGTTTTAGAGAGCTGGCTGGCCCACTGAGAGCTTAAGTAATTTTTCCAGATGAACCACAAAGGTTGAATTTAGACCCAGGCTTTCTCTCCTTCCACATTCTACCATGCTACCTCTAAGTGCTTTGAGGTTTACAAACTATGCATTGTATATAAGGCAGGCATATATATTTTAATATATGGATATTACTAGACTTCATTGCCTATCAGCCTAAAATCCCTGAATGGATAAGTTGGAAAGGCAACTACTCTAGGGGCAGCTACTCTGAATACAAACTGATCTGGAAAACTGTCAGGTATCCAGATAAAGGATGAAACAACCCAGTTTAATGTGCACTTTGGGAATTGCAATCCATTCATAGGATTTAGAATTGGAAGAGACATAAAAGGCGTCTAGTCCAACCTTTACATTTTACAGATGAGGAAACTGAGGCTTAGAGAGTTAAAGTCACTCGTTTCAAAAAGGTTCCAAGAATTCAGGTCTTCGTGGCTTCAAGACAAGGTCTTTCTATATACTACCCATCACACCACCAGGGGATATTCAGACTACCTTTTATACAGCGTTGTTATAAGAAAAGTACTCTAAGAAAGGAGGAAAAGATCCTAAGAGATATAGTCCAAATCAGGATTCTGGCTGGTCTCAGAACCAGCCAAGGACCATAATTAATGCCATGGGGTAGCTATGAATCTCGTGGAGTCTCTTTAATGCTAATAAACATCCCAGGACATCCTCATAGACCCCAAAACTATTCCAAAGGTTTAGTTGCTTAGCTCCTGACAATAAAAAATTGTTGAAAAGTTCCCCACTCTTCCTAATATCAAGAAATTTGTGAGCCAGTAGTCCCTAAGGTACATTTTGTAATTATTTCCTAATATCATTGTGGCTAGAAGTAGACAGAAGCAGTGGCTGTGAAATTGCTGAATCTGCTGCCTGCATTTATGGGAAGCAATAGGTTTCTCGTTTCAAGCTCAGCTTTGCACGAACAATAGTTCAGGCACCGGCAATAGGCATATGGGCATGAGCAAAGAGAACCAAGAAATGGGAGGCTGGCCAAGAGCCAAGCATCAGAAGGGAGTGGCTTCCGGCTATTCTGAGCCCCAAAGACTGTGATTCAAACATCAAATACCTACTCTATGCAGAACATTGTTCCAAGAAAAATATGAACTTTGATAAAAACCACAGTCCTGGCTCATATAGTTTACAGTTTTAAAAGTTCCTTAAAGATTCCCTGATGCTTCATAGCCAACTATCAAAGCTAGTCTCTGGAGTCTCCTTGCTCTCTCCAGTTTATGGTGGCCCTGCGTCACCCAAATTTCTGGTCTCGTTATGGAGTGAAGGTCAAAAAGGAGACCTACAATACTTCAGACATAGACGTTCTATTGTCATTCACTTTGAAAGGAAAAAAAATGAAAACATACTTACAGGAAAATATGAGAAAACTTCTCACTTGTTCTTATCAGGTCACAAGTATTTACCAACCAGTGAATCCTAACTAGCACAATTTGATTTCAGGAAAATATCCTGACAAGGAATATTTATTTCCTAGCCACCTCACCTGCTCTCTCCAGTCAACGACAGAGATAAGAGCCGGAAATTTTGTTCTTGTCTTCAATTCACCCCTCTTATCATCTCCCCTAATCTTCCAAATAGTTTGCTTCACATAGTTCCTACTATTATTCAGAAATAAAACATTTTGCACCCAGAACACCTAAAAAAGTTTGATTGGGAACATTTCACTAAAATTCTTAGAAATTCTTAACATGCATCAATATTTCTATTTGATCTTACCTTCTAATATTTATCAAATTTCTTTATTTCATTCCTTTTCTCTTTGTGGCAACAAAATGTAGTGGACTAAGCTCTGAAAATAGAGCCAAGCAGACCTGAATTCAAAACCTGCCTCAGATGCCTGCTTAGCTATATGACCCTGGGGAAGTCAATTACGTCTCTCAACATCATTTTCCTCACCTATTTCACAGGGTTGATGAGAGGATGAAATGAGATAATCCATGTAAGTGCTTTGTAAGCCTTAAAATGCTGTATAAATGTTATTGGTTAGTAATGAGATTATGTGCATAAAGTACTCGTAAATCTTACGGCACCATGGAAACGCTATTATTGTTGTTGTTGCTATTGCTGCTGTTGTTATTATTATTATTACTCCATCTTCTTTACTAAAACTATACCCAACTCTCTCAAACCCATTTGAGGCAATCTGGTCATATGCTTTTCCCCAGATCGAGGAAAGAGTTGCTTTTTAAAAAAAAAAAGCCAAAATTATCCCTATATTCAATACCTAGCCACCAAAAAATCATATCAATCTAGGTCCACATTATCGTGATTTATTTCTGATTGACATGCTCATAGGCACACAGGATTCTTAACCCTATTTTGGTATATCTCTTTAAAAGTTTCTGAATTCTCAGGTTCATTCTGTTCTAATACGTGCACATATACATATGTATATAGATATATAAATACATATATATATATATGTGTGTGTGCATGCATGTATATAATGGAAGTTCTCTTTTTATTTAGTGTTTTAAGTTCAGAATTTTTTAATTAAAAAAAAAAAGTCTGAGTAATCTTATGCTGGTGTAAATGGGATGGACCCAGAGCCTAATCTAGCAATTTTTGTGCCTAGGGCAGGTGGTATAAAATTGAAACAAGGAAAACAACAAGAGATGCTGCCCTCAAATCACATGGGGGTTGGGAGAGCACGGAGGAGGAGAGCCCGGGATTCTACAAAAGTCACTTCTGGGGAAGTCACTGCCACAGGAAGTTGGAGATCTGAGGCAAGGCAGAATTCACCTGGGGTACAGCAGCTAGAAAAGAGAGTATGCCATCCGCAGTTCCTATTTTCACTCATTATTTCTGCTAAATAAATTTAGGGGCTAAATTCAGTCCTTTCTACATTGCTGAAGAACTTTTAAATACTGTCAGAGGTCACAAAAATTCCAGCACCCCAGGTGGAGCCCTGTTTGCTAGACCTGTAGCAGGAGATGGGAAAGGAAGGAAGGAAATAAGCATTTCTTAAGCACCAGCTATGTGCCAGATATTGTTCTAAATGCTTGAAAAATATTCTCTTCTTTGATCCTTACAACAATCTGGGAGGTAGGCTCTCGGAAACAAGGTGGAGAAGCGAAGGAGCTGTCCAGCTGCTGGTTGGCTCTCCCTTGGACCGTGGCATATCCCAGAATCAGAACAAATGAGACCGAGGTGGCTATGTCACAAGCTTCTCCGTGACCTTTGTTTTTATGTAAGAATAATAATAATACCTGCCACTGACATAGCACTTTAAAGATTGCAAAGCTCTTTATAAATTATCTCACTTAATTCTCGCCACAACCCTATGAGTAGGTGCTATTAGTATCCCCATTTTATTGTTGTTCAGTCATTTCAGTTGTGTCCGACTCTTCATGACCCCATCTGGGGTTTTCTTGGCAAAGATGCAGGAGTGGTTTGCCATTTCCTTCTCCAGTTCATTTTACAGATGACAAAACTGAGGCAAACAGGGTTAAGTGATTTGCCCAGGATTGTACAGCTATTAAGTATCTGAGGCCAGATTAGAAATCATGAAGATGAGTCTTCCTGACTTCAAGCCTAGTACTCTACCTAAGGCTGAGAGAGGTTAAGAGGTTTTCCCAAGGTCACACATATAGTAAGCACCTGAGTCAGCATTCTAAGTCCAGTATTTTTATTGATTACGCTACTTAACTGCTGGATATCAAGACGAATTTTCTTAAGTTACATGGGAGTATGAGTCAGTAGTGTCTCTCTCCCTTGAATCAAGAAAACCACTGCTACATTCATCTAACCCAAGGGAGAGAACCTGCAGCCTCGAGGCCGCATGTGGCTTCAAAGTCGCAGGGTCTCCACTCCAGTCTAAACTTTTCTGTATGATTCCCCGTAGGATCATGGATCTAGAACTGTAAAGGAGCATCAGGCTCATCCTCCTCATTATAAAGATTATTAGGCAGCCTTCTGTTCTCTGCTCTTTCCCATACTTCTTAAGGATGTCTTTGCAGAACTACCAGAGGCAGCTAGGTAGGGCAGTGGATAGAGTACTGGGCCTGGAGTCAGAGACACTCAGGTTCAGGCATAAATAGGTTGGGGGGCAGCTAGGTGGCGCCATAGTGCACAGAGTGCTAGGCCTGGAGTCAGGAAGACTCATCTTCCTGAGTTCAAATCCAGCCTCAGACACTTACTAGCTGTGTGACGCTGGACAAGTCACTTGATCCTGTTTGCCTCAGTTCCCTCATCTGTAAAATGAGTTGGAGAAGGAAAGGTCAGGAAAACCCCAAAAGGGGTCACAAAGAGTCAGATATAACTGAAAAATGACTAAACAACAACATGGATGTTTTGAATACAGATCTCATTACATTTTCTTTCCCTCCCAAAATCACCATCTTTCCAATTTCCCTGTTTCTGTTGAGGGTACCACTGTCCTTCCAGTTACTCAGACTCACAATGTCAGTGTAAACTTTGACTCCTTGGGGGTAGCTAGGCGGTACAGTGGATAGAGCACCCGCCCAGGAGTCAGGAGGACCTGAGTTAAAGTCCAGCCTCAGATACTTGACACTTACTAGTTGTGTGACCCTGGGCAAGTCACTTAACCTCTTTTTCCCTCAGTTGCACCATTGCCTAGCCAAAAAAAAAATTTTTTTTTTGACTCCTCACTCACACACATAAGCAGCTAGTTATTGCAATGGATCAAACACGAGGCCTGGAATTAGGAAGACCTGAGTTCAAATCTGGCCTCAGACACTTACTAGCTATATGACCTTGGGCAAATCACTTAACCTCTTTTTGCCTCAGTTTCCCCATCTGTAAAATGTGAATGATAATAATACGCCTATCTCCCAAATTTTTTTGAAGATCAAGTGAAATAATATTTGTAAAGTGTTTAGCACCATGACAGGCACATATTTAAGTGCTTTGTAAATATTAGCTATTATTATCCACCTAGCTTCCAGATCTTACCACTTCAGTCCCCACATATTTCACAACTGCTTCCTTCTTACTACAACCACAGCCTGCTCTAGCTGTAGCCCTCATCATCTCTTCCCTGTGCTGTCACGATATCTTTTCTATGCATCCCCCTGTCTCAAGTCTCTCCCGACTCCAATCTATCCCTCTCATTCTAGCCAAAATGATTTTCCTAAAGCTCATGTCTGACCATGAAGTCAAGAAACTCCAGTGGTCCGCTACTGATCAGTACTATTTCATCTTTCTCACATTTTTTTAAATGTTTATTTCACATACATTTTATAAAATGCACAATTATTAATATACACACGTGTCTATGATTTATAAATAAAATCTAGCATTTATGTAGCACTTTAAGGTTTGCAAAGGGTTTTACATATGTAATCTCTTTTGATAATTAAGTAGATAAATACATATTGGGAATACGTGCTCAAAAATGTTTTTACCAATGGGGTTCAAGAACAAAAAGGTTTAGAAACCATTGCTCTACGTTACCACACTCCACACACACACACACACACACACACACACACACACACACACCCCTAGGATTCTAATTCCAACTTACCTCACTAGGTTCAACGATGGCTATATTTTCAGCCCCTACTTTCCTCTTTATTCGGGAGCTCATGGTGATCCCACCACTTCCCCCACCCAGGACCAGGAATTCATAGTAGTCCTTGGCAGCAGAGGGGGTTCCTGTGTGCAGTTGAAACTTGCTAGCCTGCTGAGTTCCCCGCTGGAGGAAAGAAGAAAGAAGCCTAGTTGTGGGGCAGGATACCACCATGACCAGGGAAGTCATCCTTGGTCCTGGTCAATCTGTGAGGTGAAGAAAGAGGGGAAAGACGTCATTATAAATAATAAGTAATTCCCATATATAATATTTTCCTTAAATAATACACAAAAGTGACAGATGCTAAGCTGGGAACTTAATAGTCATAATCACAATAGATAAGTTTACAAATTGCTTTACAAATATTATCTGATTTGGTCCTACCCTCTGAGGTAGCTGCTATTATTATCCCCACAAAAAATATTTTACAGATGAGGAAATGAAGTAGACAGAAGTTAAGTGACTTGCCCAGGTTCACATAGTAAGTGTCCAAGGACAGATTTGAACTCAGGTCTTCCTAACTCAAGGCCCAACTCTCTACCCACTATACCACCTAGCTACCTTTAAGACTTTGCCACGAAGCAACGAGACCAGTAAGTGTTTGATAAATGCTGTATCTCTGTACCCCTACTAAAACTTCCTACTGTTCTTTAGACAAATTCTCTCCTTCCTCTGCTTCCAGGTCCCCTTCCTGTCACTTCTAAACCACCGCCACCCTCACCTCCATTGGACTGCTGCTGCTAAGCTTATCTGCGGCTATACTCAGCTGTTATCCATCCTTCCCTTTTAATCCCATCGGTGAAAGCCCTTACAGAAACCATAGAGAGTTTCTTCTCTCAGACTACCTTGGACCCAGTGAGAGTTGAATAAATGTAAACCAGAAGTAACAATGGGTCAAAAGTTGACCTCCCAGGAATCAAACTTTCACAATCCGACTTTACAGTAAGTAGTCAGTGACTCAGCCCCAGCCCTTCCCTGCCTTAAAAAAGCCTTTATTCCAACTTGTAGCCAATTCAACTTGTGTGAGGAAGTGTGAGCTAATCAAATCACCGGATGCAGACTGACAAGTGGCCATCCACACCTTGAGCAATTTCAGTTAAAATGCCAATAAAACTGATCTAGACCTGGGATTGTAAAAATGTATTTTATGTACAAAGTCAACAATCTAAAGAAAAGTATTTTACTGTAACTAGCTCAGGAGACAATTTCTACATTAAGAGCACCTCCCAAAGTGTACTGTATTGTCGAATTGTTTCAGTCTTGCCCAACCCCATCGGGGGTTTTCTTGGTGAAGATACCAGAGTGGTTTGCTACTTCCTTCTCCAGCTCATTTTACAGATGAGGAAACTGAGGCAAACAGGGTGAAGTGACTTGCCCAGGTTCACACAGCTAGTAAATGTCTAAGACCAGAAGATGAGTCTTCTTGACTTCAGGCCCAGCATTTTATCCACTGTGCCACTTAGCTGCCCCATTTTACACCACATTCATTTCCAAATATATGCCTCTCTTACAAGTGAGTTTTCCTTTTCAGCAAAGATTAAAAAAGAAAAGAAAAAAGTTCAGCAAAATCAACTAACACATTGACTCTGACTGACAGCATATACACTATTTCATATTCCACCTCTACAAATACAAGAATAGGCCCTGACTCATTCAACTTCCATACCCAAACACTTGCCAAGGCTTGTCAATTTTGCCTCCAAAATTCTTGGACCCATCCCCTTCTCTCTACTGATACATTCACCACCTAATACAGGCCCTTTCCCTTGGCGTATTGCAAAAATCTCCCAACTCGTCTCTCTTGTTACAGTCTCCCCTCTTCTACTCCATCCTCCACACAGCTACCAAGCCAAAATTCCTAAAATACAGCTTTAACCAGGCCACTGCTAGATCAATACTACTAGAGTTGGGGCAGCTAGGTGGCACAATGGATGGAGTGCCAGGCCTGGAATCAGGAAGACTCATATTCCTGAGTTCAAATCTGGCTTCGGACACTTACTAGCTGTGTGACCCTGGGCAAGTCACTTAACCCTGTTTGCCTCCAAAAACAGCCTTTCCTGATTTCCCCTAATCCTTAATATCTTCTTCTTGAAGTGAGTTTGCATTTATTTATCTGCTAAATTATATCCTCCCATTAGAATATTAGCTCCTTGAAGGTAACTAAATAGAGAGTTGTTTGATAGAGTAATGTGATATATTTAGGGTCTCAGGTCCTGAGTTCAAATCCAAGATCTGCTGCTTGTTATTTTTCTGTGTCCTGGGACTAGGGGGAAGAGAAGAGAATAAGCATTTATAAAGAATCTACTATGTGACAGGCAACTCTACTAAGGGATTTACAAATATTGTCACACATGATCTTCACAACAACCCTGAGAGGTAAATGTTATTATTATCATCTCCATTTTACAGATGAGGAAACTGAGGCAAGCAGAAGTTAAGTGATTTGCCCAGCATCACACAGCTGGTGGGTGTCTAAGACTAGATTTGAACTCAGGTCTTCCTGACTCCAGGCCCAACAATCTATCCACGTACCAGCTAACTACATCTAAAACAAATCACTTGACTTCCCTGGGCCTGAGTTTCCTCTCTAAGGGGCTGGGGGAGGAGGGGGGAGGAAGAGACAACAGTGGACTAGGTGACTTCTAAGGTCCCTTCCTACCCTAATCATACCATTGGTCTTTATATCCCCAGCAACTAGCACAGTACCTCAAAACAATAGTAGGAGCTTAATAAATGTTTGTCGAATTAACTTAAATCTTCCAAGGGGTAGGATGACTGCAACAATCTCTACTTTGTGGGTTAAGGCAAACCATTTTTCTCCAATCCTGGACCCTGATTTTAACCCTGAGGAATGGAAACTGTGAATAAAAATTAACTAAGTATAGAAGAAAAGTCCCCAGATAACCAAATCTGTGTAGACTTAAGGCCCTCCCTGGGCCTCAGTTTCCTCATCTGTAAAATGGGAGGATTGGACTAAATGCTCTCTACGATAGCTTCTGGCTCTGACCTTCTGTGATTTTCTGTTTGAGGGAGCAGCTGCAGCAGATAACCATAGACTTCTCTGATTTAGCTAAGAAGCCCTGGTCCCTGCCTCATTTCAGCACTTAGCAGTATGGGTTAATAGGTGGGTAGAGACATGAAACTTCTCAAGACCAAGTTATCCTGAGATATTGCCAACCGGCTTTTAAAAAATAAACAAGTTTTTAAAGAAACAAATGATTTATGGGAGAATTGTTCCAAGTTTCAAATAACTTCTGACAGCTACTGCAAATCAAGATTATGAACTCCTCCTAGCAACTAGAACATCCAAGCCATACAAGCAGGGACCATAATTCAAAGTCATTAGTAGCTCAATTATGCAAAACTCTCCCCACAAATTACTAGAAGCAACAAGGCAGACTAACAGCACTTAATAATAATAATGAAAAAAATTTAATACCTAACATTAGAATCAAGATGCATTCCTGACATTGGCCAAGACTGATAGCCAGAGGCACAAAGATACTCATGAACCCCAACCTCACAAAATATCAATTTCTGTCTTGGGGTCAGTACAGACACGATAAGAAATGTACCAATAAATTCCCTAAGAAAATAATGTCCAATGATTATAAGAGTACAAATGGAAAGAACAATTAAAAATGAACACAGTAAATATAATTACAACCCCACCCAAGAGAATGGTTACAAAAAAAGCACCTCAATCCCTAATTTGAAAAGATGGGGCATTATGGGTATGAAAATGTGCATATCCTGTCAGATACAATCAATGTGTTAGCTGGCTTTTTTTTTTAGCTACAGGAACTTTTTTTCCTCTCTTTTAATCTTTTCTACAAAGGAATGCTCACCCTGGTACAGGAGAGTTATTTAGAAATGAATGTGGTTGTACAAAAATGTTGATAGCAGCTCTTTTTGTGGTGGCAAAAAATTGTGAATTGAGGGGATGGCCATCAGTTGGGGAATGGCTGAACAAGTTGTGGTATATAATTGTGATGGAATACCATTATTCCATAAGAAATGATGAGCAGGATTTTTCAGGAAAAGCTGGGAAGATTTATATGAACTTATACAAAGTGAAGTGAGCAGAACCAAGAAAGTATTGTACACAGTAACAGCAATATTGTAAAGTAATTGACTGTCAAAGATTTGGCTACTCTGATCAAGACAATTTTGAAGAACCTATGATATAAAATACTATTCACATCCAGATAGAGAACTGATGACCTCTGAAGTGCAGATTGAAGCATACTTTTTTTTAACTTTCTTTATTTTTCTTGTTTTTGTGGGTATGTTTTCTTTTGCAACATGCATAATATGAAAACACATTTCGCGTGACTTCACATGTATAATCAATATTATATTGCTTGCCTCCTCAAGAGGTGGGGGAGGGACAAGAAAGAGGGGAAAAATTTGGAACTCAAAATTTTTAAAAATGAATGTTAAACATGTATAACTTATATCTGATTGCTCACCACTAAGAGTGTGGGGAGGTGAGAGAGGAAGGGAGGGGTAGAATTTGGAACTCAAAACTTTAAAAAATGTTTAAAAATTGTTTTAACATGCAATTGGGGGAATAAAATATTTAAATGAATGTCAAAAATTTACATGTAATTAGGAAATATTTAATGAAATAAAAATGTTCAAAAAAGAAATTAACATGGTATAAAAACAAAAGGTATCAATAATAATGAATGACTGAATAGCGCTGAGAAGTGCCCTGAACCCCTAATTTTGCCAGCTCTCTCATCTACCTATGAATGTGTATGGCAGACCTATCTATTAGGGTGTAAACAAACTGATTCCTAGTGCTTCTTCTTCACATTTCTCATTTATTCCTGAGTTCTTTTGAGGTGAAAAACACAAAGTAGTTTTCAGTGCTGATATTTCTGTCATCATTGTTTGTAGAGACACATAGCAGTTGGCACGGTAGATAGAAGGCCAGTGTTGGACGAATGAAGGACTGGGTTCAAGTCCTGCCTTTGACCCATGTTAACAGAAATCTCCTGGAGCCAGCACATAGGAGCCCATTGTTAAGATTTTCAGTGTGAGCATTTATACCTCACAAATCAGTAAATGCTACAAATCAGAGCTTGACTTATTATTTTGTTCATTGTCTAGACTTAAGAAAGCAATAGAGAAAATGTTAATAATGCAGATTAAACTTTTTTTGGAGGCAGAGTTAAGTGACTTGCCCAAGGTCACACAG